ACTGTTTGGGATAAACTAAATTCCTGAAAGTCAGGGTGTTACCACTTAGGTGTTTTTCTGGCCTAGAAGATAAGATATTCAAGGACAGGGACACATTTTTTCTCTTTGATTACCCTGGAAACATTTGACACAAGGACAATAGATGGACTATGCATATCTATATATATATAAAACCTTAAAGGACCATAACAAACGACTGATTGCAATGACATGCACTGCAGGGGTGGGGCCAACTGGTCAACCTCCTATGGGCCTCCTCCCCCACCCCCCCCAGCTGGTCCTGCCCCCAATCAGCCCCCCTGCAACCTGATTGCCAATTGAGGGCAAGGCCAGCTAGACCCCACCTGTGCAAGAATGTGGGCCTCTTGTAAGTATATACGTTCTTTGGTTTATCTTTTTTCTTTGGGTCTTATTTTGTTGGTCAATTCATTTAGTTCATTAGTTTCTACAAATAAATGAAATCATATGATATTTGTCTTTCTCAGATTGGCTTATTTCACTAGGCATAATATTTTCCAGGTCCATTCATGCTGTCCCAAAGGGTAAAATAACCCTCGTTTTTCAGCTGTGTAGTGTTCCATAGTGTAAATGTCCCACAGCTTTTTTATCCATTTAATTTGCTAATGGTGTCTTGAGCTATTTCCAAATCTTAGATACTGTAAATAATGCTGCTATGAACATAGGGGTGCATATATATTTTTTTCTAATTGGTGTTTTCTTTTTTTTAGGATATATTCCCAGAAGTGGGATCATTGGGTCGAATGGTAGTTCCATTTTTAATTTTTATAGGAAGCACTATTCTATTTTTCATAGTGGCTGCACCAATCTGCATTCCCACCAACAGTGAACTGTTATTATCTTTTCTGCACATCCTTATCAGCACTTGTCATTTGTTGATTGTTTGATGATAGCCATTCTGATAGGAGTAAGTGATATCTCATTGTGATTTTAATTTACATTTCTCTGATGATTAGTGACTTGGAGCATTTTTTCATGTTTATTGGTCATTTCTATGTTCTCTTTGGAGAAATATTTATTCAGACCTTCTGCACATTTTTTAATTGAGTTGCTTGTTTTCATTTTGTTGAGTTGTATGGGTACTTTATCTATTTTGGATAGTAATACTTTATCAACTGTATCATTGGCAAATATGTTCTCCCAAACAGTGGGTTCTGTTTTCATTTTGATGGTTTCTTTTGCTGTAAAGAAACTTTTTATTTTGATGTAGTCCCATTTGTTTCTTTTCTTCATAGTTTCCTTTGCCCTAGGAGATGTATCTGTAAACATATTGCTATGTGAGATGTCTGATATTTTACTGCTTATGTTTCATCTAAGATTTTTATGGTTTCATGCCTTATATTTAAGTCTTTTATCAATCTTAAGTTTATTCTTGTGTATGGTATAAGTTGGTGATCTAGTTTTGTTGTTTTGCATGTGTTTGTCCAGTTTTCTCAGCATCATTTGTTGAAAATACTGTCTTTACTTCATTGTATGTCCTTGCCTCCTTTGTCAAATATTAACTGACCATAATGGTGTGGGTTAATTTCTGGGTTCTCTGTTCTTATCTATTGTTCTTGTGCTATTACCAGGCATGTTTGGGTTATAATAGCTTTGTAGTATAGTTTGATATCGGGTATTGTGAACCCTCCTACTTTGTTCTTTCTCAAGATTGCTGCAGCTATTTGGGGTCTTTTATGGTTCAATATCGATTTGTGGAGTATTTGTTCTAGCTCTGTGAAATATACCATTGGTATTTTATTAGGGATTGCAATGAGTCTATTGATTGCTTTGAGCAATATATCCAATAACATGTTAATGATGTTTATTATTCCAATCCATGAACGTGGCATACACTTCCATTTATTTGTATCTTCCCCTATTTCTTTTTTCAATGTCCTAAAATTTTCTAAGTGCAGGACTTTTTCCTCCTCAGTTACATTTATTCCTAATTATCTTAATTTTTGTTGTTGTTGCAATGGTAAATGGGATTGCTTTTTCAGTTTCTCTTTCTGAGAGTTTATTATAGGTGTATAAAAATGCCATTGATTTCTGGATGTTGAATTCATATCCTGCTACCTTGCCAAATTCATGTAGTAAGTCCAGTAATTTTCTGGTGGAGTCTTTAGGGTTTTTTTATGTACAATATCATGTTATCTGTGAATAATGACAGTTTTACTTCCTCCTTTCCCCTTTGGATGCCTTTTAGCTCTTCTTCTTGTCCTATTGCTGTGCTGGGATTTCCAGTGCTACCTTGAACAAGAGCTCTGACAGTGGACATCTTTGTCTTGTTCCTGTTCTTAAGGGAAATCCTTTTAGTTTTTGCCCACTGAATATTATAATGCCTATATTTTTGTCATATATGCCTTTATTAGTTGAGTTATGATCCCTCTATTTCCACTTTACTGAGAGTTTTTATCAAAAAAGGTTGCTGAATTTTGTTGAATGTGTTGGGTGTTTTTTTTTTGTATCTATTGATATGATCATGTATTTTGTTAAAAATACATTTTTAAAATATATTTTATTGATTTTTTTACAGAGAGTAAGGGAGAGAGATAAAGAGTTAGAAACACTGATGAGAGAGAAACATTGATCAGCTGCCTCCTGCACACCCCCTCCTGGGGATGTGCCCTTGACCAGAATCAATGTGCCTCGGACTATTTCAGTGTCTTCCCATTGGCACTGGATGCTAACAGAAGCAATGCTTGCCATAAATATAAAATAAATTGCAATGCAAATAAACCTATGTAGACAGCATCCACTCAGAAATGCTGTTTACCGGGTGTGGCCACAAATGAGAAAATTTGTAATTTTTACAAATGACCAATATTTTAACTAAATAAATACTTTGGAACAGTTGATCTAACACATTTTAATGGAACCAAATATGTGTATACATTCTAAAATAATCTTACAGATATTTATATGCACAAGTATGCTTTTAATAGACTTTGGAAAAAATTTACAAAAAAGAAAAACAAATAAAAACTCATAGACACAGATGACAGTATGGTGTTTACCAGAGGGAAGGGGTGTGGGATGGTAGTTATAAAGGGTAAAGGGGGTCAAATATATGGTGATGGAAGAAGATATGACTTTGGGTGGTAAACACACACTGCATATACAGGTGATGTGTCATAGAATTGTACACTTGAAATTTATATAATTTTATTAACCAATAACACCCCAGTAAAATTTAATTAAAAAATCAATTTTGGAATTCTGATGTCTATTTTTTTAAATATATTTTATTGATTTTTTACAGAGAGGAAGAGAGAGAGATAGTTAGAAACATTGATGAGAGAGAATCATTGATCAGCTGCCTCTTGCACACCCCCTACTGGGGATGTGCCCGCACCCAAGGTACATGCCCTTGACTGGAATCGAACCTGGGACCTTTCAGTCCACAGGCCGACGCTCTATCCACTGAGCCAAACCGGTTTTGGCATGATGTCTATTTTTTTTTTTATCTCTTCTCATGAATTAACTAAGATAGTTATAAGCAGAATAGCCCAGTCAATAGTGTTTATTTTTATATACTTTAGTTTTTATTTTTGTTCCATCTGTGAGCCTTCTTGTAGTTAGCACATTCTATATGGTACTGCAGTGAGACAGATACAGAATGATTGAAGAAATGTATTAGTAATTGGTCTTTTCTTATAACCTTTTCCTCTTGTTGAAAATAAGGCCCAACTATAATACAGTCTTAATTTCTACAAAACAAAATATATTTAACAGTATGTACTGCCCAGTTCTTTTTGTTTATTAGAATAGTTGTATGATTTTGTATAAAGCATTTTTCTCTGCCTATGATTTTTCTTTGAATCCTGCTGGTGGTAAAAAGAAGAGTGCATTTTATATTTGGTGTGATCCTTTGTAAAGAAGTGGGACACTTCCTGCATACCACTGTTAAATATTCCTCTGGCAGTATTAGGTGGACTATATTTACCCATTTGTAGATGCATCAACCTTTCCCATATTAAGTCCTTTAGCAAGGAAATCAGGGAGGAAGTCTGGTAGTGCTCAAATAAGACTGGGAAGTTGTAAGAAAATGTCAAGAGGTTAGAAATCATTAATTTGACCTTTTAAAACTTTAATACATTAATAAACAATATATGATATAACTTTTGATGGAGGAAATAATTTAATAAATGAAATAATATTTCTACTTCCACATATATCATTTGTGAGGAAAAATGAAATAGAAACATAAGTTCTTCTAATAGTGGAAAAAGAGAACATGTTTTTAAAGTTTGAGTTTGCTTAAAGTTTGTTATTAAATCATAGCAGGATTCCTAGGAAGTATTCAACATATTTGCATAAGTATTAAAATAATTCATCATGATTAATTCTATTATAGTAAAACTCAGCCCTAATCACAATCTGCCACACACTGTAGTGGCTTGTCAGTATTTCATATTTTACTAGAGTTCTGGTGGAATTGCAGCTCCTGTGATCATCTGAGTTCACTGTGATTAATGTGGTTCAGAAGGAGATCTAATAACGATTAACCAGTTTCATAAAGTGTTACAGAATAAGGTCGTTGTGAGAAAATTTTTAAAACTCTTCAATATGCACAATCTAGCAAGTACCTCTGGCAGCAAATTTGATTTCTCAAAGGATGAAGAAGTCTAACCTTGGAAACATCTGAACTCTTAGGGCAAAGTTGGGAAAAGTGGACAATAATTTGCCTTCAAATACTTAGGATCAAAGGAAAACAGGGCAAGTCTATAAACAGTGGTAGAAAGTTACAGGGAAGTAGACATCAATCTGCTATGGGCTTCTTGGCTTCCACAGGCTCAGGGCAGTGAGGAGGTTCTCCTGATTAGGATTATCAGGTAGAGGCCAGATGCCTACTAACTTATGAAGAATACTGTAAAATATTTTTTTAATGGTTCAGTAGAGAGTTTTCTTTCGGTAAATTCTGAATTCTTTTTCAGCTGTGGGATTTCATAAGTTAGTTTCCTTTAGAATGACAATAAATTTATTCTTTTTTTTCTTAGATTTTGGTGGAGGCTTCAGTGGGAGATGGCTTCACCGGAGACATTGCAATTGATGATTTGTCTTTTATGGACTGTACCCTCTATGCTGGTAAGAAAGAATATTTCAATATATGACTATTTTCAAACCTGTTTACTGAAAAGCCCACCAAGGAAATCAGCATTTCATTTCAACAAATATTCCAAAATGCCCTCAATTGTGTATTCTCAAATATATTAACCCTGGAAGAGATTATTGTAAATCTTTGCTAGTAATAACCCTTAAAATCTTTGTGAAAAGGTAAAAAGGGTTGGATCAGTTGTGTTTGTGTCTTATCACATGAAAAATACTAGAAAATAATGTCTGAAGTTACTCTGTAATTTCATTATATTTGAAGGTTTATTTGCCAATTTATTTGCCTTGTAATTACAATGTTTTGGAGGCTTTATCAACCTCTCAGTTACCTTTAGAGATGTTTTATTTTCAAGCTACACCTTATATTTTTCTAAGGATTGATTTCAATAATTTTATCTCCATGTTATAGATTTTCCATTAATGAAATCATACATGTTTTCCATATATTAGTAGTTGTTTGGGAAATAGTACAATAATTAATAAATAAGAATATAAGAATAAACTATGTTTCATATACTCACAACTGTAAACCTAATTTTGCCCCACCCTGTATATCTCTATTCTTAACATTTTCCTTGAACTGTAGACTTTTATACTAACCACCTACTCAACATTTCAACTTAGATTTCTTTTTTTTTTCTTTTTTTTTCTTTTTTTTTTCTTTTTAAAGAGCAGAGGCACCTATGATGCCTGCTAGCTTTTTTTTTTTTTTTTAATAATATATTTTATTGATTTTTTACAGAGAGGAAGAGAGAGGGACAGAGAGTTAGAAACATTGATGAGAGAGAATCATCGATCAGCTGCCTCCTGCACACTCTCTACTGGAGATGTGCCCGCAACCAAGTATATGCCCTTGACCTGAATCGAACCCGGGACCTTTCAGTCCGCAGGCTGATGCTCTATCCACTGAGCCAAACCTGTTTCAGCATCAACTTAGATTTCTTACAGGAATCTCAAAGATACCTAGGGAAACACCTAAAACAAGCATACTACTCCAATGGAAATTCATTCTAGTCGGTGCTTACTGATCCAGTCGGAATCTATATCAAGCTCTTGGAGCATGATTCTGACAGAGTGGCTGGAGGCTCTTAAAATCTGTGACAAGGGAGCGCATAGTTTATTTTTATTTTTTTATGATTAGAGGCTGGGTATTTCAAAAGCAATTCAAAAATCCATGTAGAAAGCATTGCCATGTGCTGAAGCACAGCAGCAGCCCTGCTCTGCCACCATAGCATTATTGGGCAGGAGAGCGCCAGCCCCTCCCCAGACATAATCAGAGGGCTGGGCTCTAATTATTTTCCTTGTAACAAGGGGACATGGCTTTGATCCTTCACCTCATCACTCTGGCAGGGTTAATTACCATTACCACTCTGTGCAGGGGTTCCCACAGACTGGGCAGAAAGTCAATCCCTCTCTGGAAGGCCAGCAAGAAGAAAATCAGCATTGAACAAGTTTACCCTAACTCTTCAGGTCTAAAAGTAAATTCTTGATTACCACTTGCCCCTCAGTTTTGACCTTCCTGCATGCCTCCCTAGCTCAATAAATGCGTTTATTTCTAGTTACGTATTCCTCATTAACAAATCTGGTCAGCCACTAGCTTCAGATACATCCAGAGTTCACTACTTCTCATGGCTCTCACTGTTCTCCCCTTGATTTAAGCTACCGTTGTCTCTGGATTATTACAACTGCTTTTTAAGTGATCTGCCTGCTTTTACCCTTAAGCCATATAAACTATGCTCAAAACAGCATCTAGAATGACTTTTTAAAGCTTAGATAATGTCATGTTTTCCTAGGACCATCCTTTCTCATTCAGAGAAAAAATAAAAAATAAAAAATAAAGCCAAGCTGCTTCCTAGCTTCCAAGGAATAAATGACTGGCTTCCTTATTTCTGCCTGATTTCACCTTCCACTAGAATGCCTCTAATTGACTTCTCTCAGCTAGAAGGCCTCTTAACTAATCCTTGACTGCCCCAACCCTTCACACCTGCTTTTCCCTCTTGCCCTAGATATCCACTGGACTCCTTTCTTCTTTTTAATCTCTGCTCAAAGGTATCTCCCTTAGTAAAGCTGTCTCTGAACACTACACAATCACAGACACACACAGAGATCTCTTCCATATCTGATATTTTCTACCTCCTTTCCCTGTTATTTTTTTATGACACCTCTTCCTCTTAAAGTTAAATTTGTTCTTTCCCCCACAATACTGTGGGCTGCATGAGACCATAAATTTTGCCTGTTCACTACTTTATCTCCAGCTGCCTAAATAGTATCTGGCATATATACATGTAGTTCTCAATAAATATTTGTTGGTTAGATGGGTGGATAGGAAGATGTCTATATCATTTTAAGTGTTTGTATACTATTATTATATATTTTAGTTTACTATTATTATTATTATTACTAAAATGCTAAGTACTTCTACATTTTATTAACCAAGGAGAAAATGTTTTATTAACCATGTCAGTCAGTTTTTCTTGACAGCCAAATCTCAGCAACTTACAATCTCAAGCATTTATTTCTTGTTTTTAAGTGTTAGTATAGAACAACATTAAAACCGTGTATGCTCTGTAGCTCTGTTCTGTGTGTCCCTTGTATCTGGGTCCAAGGCTCAACGACCAAGTCCCTATGTGACCCGTGATGCTGTCAAGGAAGAGGGTGGGAAAAGAGAGCAGCACCCTTATAGCTTCTACTGGGACAAGGAATGCATCATGTCCGCTTGTGTCCATTGGTCAGAGCAGGTCATACAGTTGAGCCTAAAAATGTGACAGGGAAGTAGTCTCCACTGACAGGAACTTGGCAAGAATGGAGAATATAAAATGGGCACAATGATGCAACCTACCTATGTATCATCTCACATAATTCCATAACATTTTAAGAGTCAAGAATAGTGTCTGGTCCATTGTTGGTGAATGGATTTTGAATGTTGAATAGGGCAGATGCATTTGTTATCTCAATTTTATGGAACAAACTGAGAAGGAGATTACCTGCTATGATAAAGTGACAGAATATGATATCTGCTTCTTTGGACCTTAATGTTAGCCACTGTTATTATAATGGTCTAAAACTACTAACCTAAAAAAGAAAAGAACACAATTTTAATTTTACAGATGTGCACACTTAAACTGAAGGAACACAGGTGACCTGGAGGGGAATTTACAATTGAGGGCAGGAAGGAGATTTTCACCTTAGCTTGTTTGATGTCCATGGCCAGAGGTTTCCCAAATCTCCTCCCACTCTGAGATTAGGGAGAAACCCTGTGGGCCAGGCAGCAGGGAACAATAAAGAAAGAGAACAAGAACCAGTCACACTGACACTGTGGTAGTTCCCACTGCCCTTAAATGCATTTGGTGGCTGATGGCTCCAAGGTGGAGTGAGAAGGGCTGCCAGGAACAAAGGCAGAGATGTGAAATATCAGTTACAGACTATTAGTCCGGATATTCTGCTTCAATTTTCAGAAGAAAGATATGGAATTCTAAAATCTGTCTGAACCATGCGGTTTTAATGTTGGCTCTATAACAAAAGCAACTTTTGGTTGAAGCCACAAAGCCTGTTATAACCATAGTTTTATAAAGGAATTTGATGCAATCTTGCCATAAAAATTAGGCTGTTAATAAAAATATTCTTGATGAACTGTTTTATTTCTGATATCATGTTTGCTGAGGTGGGATCAGTACATATAGGTTTACTAGTATCTACAGACATTGATTTGCTTTAAGTATAAATTGATTATCTACAACATTTTTCTCCTTGGTTAATAAAACAAAGAAAAACTGAAAAGCATATACACAAACATAAAATATTGACCTACTCTTTAAAGAATGAATTTGTACATTACCTATAACCTTTATTTTATACTAAAAGCAATTAAAAAGATTATCTTATTTTTACTTATTTCCTGGAAATCAACCTCTTTCTTTTCATGCCATCCTTCTTTTTTTTTTTTTTTTTTTTTTTTTTTTTTTTTAACAATATCAGTATTCTCTAGCAACCAGGAACTGGAATTTCACTGTATCCTTTGACTTTCTTCTTTTTTATTTTTAAAATATATTTTATTGATTTTTTAAAAAATATGTATTTTATTGATTTTTTACAGAGAGGAAGGGAGAGGGATAAAGAGTTAGAAACATCGATGGGAGAGAAACATTGATCAGCTGCCTCCTGTACACCTCTTAGTGGAGATGTGCCCACAACCAAGGTACCGTACATGCCCATGACCGGAATTGAACTTGGGACCCTTCAGTCTGGCAGGACCGATTCTCCATCCACTGAGCCAAACTGGTTAGGGCCTTTGACATTTTTCTCAAACTGGCTCACTTGCAAACCTAGCTGACTCCAACTCCAAAATATTTCTCACATCTGTTCTGTTTTTTCCATTACCTCTGCCATGACATTGATTCAAAATTGTTGATTCTAATAGTAAGCTTTTTCACTGCTAACTTTTATTAATTTCCCCAATAGTGTTTATGTCATAAATTTAGTTTCTTTTTACTTCATCCTTGAGCATCATTTGCTTTTTGATGTCAAATCTTTCTTATTTTCTAACTTCTGGTTGTTTCTAACTTAATTTTGAAATCCATTCCCAACTATGGTTCATACTTCCTTTGTTTCAGTACATTGATGATTCAGATTCTTATTCAAAAACTGGTTCAGGAGGATACTATAGAAAATATATTGAGGCAACATTAATTACATTTCTAGGGAAAGTAGGCAAAATTAACCATATAATATAACCCTGTTGTTCTTTGCATTAGGATATGATGATGTTGGCCAATCCCAGAGTGGGTAATGATGGGGAATAATGGCAAAATTCAATTCCTTTTCCCTCACCTTGAATCTGACCTTCAGAGTACATTATGAAGCAAAAATTGTTGCCAGACATTCAGATTTAAAAATCAGTAACCCAAAGGAAGTATCTGTTTCACATTATTTTTTTTCTGATACAAGAAAAGCAAAAAAGTATATTTTCTTCAGCAGAACACATATAATAGTTTACTTCCAGACATCAAGGATTATTGGTGATGTAGCTGGGTTATTTGGAAAAATAAAACTATGACTATATGGCATCACAGCATACTGCTACAAAGAGAAAATACAATTAAGCAATTACCTACCCATTTTTCATTTAATTTAAAATTTCAGAACTCAATATGTATATTTGAATTTAGTTACTAGAAGTATTAATTAATAGAAGGAATTTCACTATTCAAGATATCTAGTGTTTTATTTTCCTCAGAAAAATTGCTAATAAGTCATTGGCATGTCTTCCAATTTATGATGCCTTAAAATTGAGAAAGTATAGAAACTACTTATAAGAGGCTTAACAACAATATTTTGTATGTCCTCCCCTATCTGCCAAATGGCTTTTTGTTATTGAACTGAGTTGATTGGAATTTTGACATCCTTCTACATTAATGTTAGTTTCTTACCAATTTTATTTCTAAACTAGTGGCCCAGTGCAATTGAAATTCATGGATGGAGAGGGGGAGAAGGGGTGTCTCTCAGCCTGGCCTGCACTCTCTCCAATCTGGGAACCCTTGGGTGATGTCCGACTGGCAGTTGGACATCCCTCTTGCAATCTGGGACTGCTGGCTCCTATCTGCTCACCTGCCTGCCTGCCTAATTGCCCCTAACCACTCTGCTTGCTCCCAACTACCCCCCATCCTTCTCTCCCCCAGCTGCTCCTTCCTTGCTGGCCTGTTCGCCCCCAACTTAACCCCGCCAATCTGTTATACATATCAGTCAAGTCATTCAAGTCATTCACATAATTATGACATGTGTAAAGCCGGTAATACTTTATCAAGAACTAGGGATTTTCAAGTATAAATTGTATTGCTTAATTACCTTTGTGGGAATGATTGTGATGAGGAAGTCTAAAATAAAACAAGTTAGAGTATCTGTTCTATCAGAGATATTTTATTAATGTAGCATGAAGTATATCATATTTATTACAAGAAAGTCACAGTGCAAGGAAGGAGTTAGAAAATTGACTCCAATGAGTCTGAGTCATTGATCTCAAATGACAGGTATGCAGGTGGTTAGGTTTGCCTGTAGCTTAGGGATCTAGAGGTAGATCATATCAACCAGATTAATCTCTGCTTCTTAGTGAGTGCAGACTTAGTCATTTGCATTTTGCCTTTGCAATTTTATTTCATCTACAAAGTATTTAGTATTTTTTGTTTGGAGAGTTAACTCTATCATTGCTACCAACTTTAGTCTTTCTTTGCAATTCTAGGCAAATAATTAATGATAATCCAATAAAAGGGTAATATGCAAATTAGCTGTCACTCTGTCACAAAGATGGCGGCATCCTTAGCATTCTGTGCCCTGGCCACAGAGAGAGGGAGGGCGCTGGGCAGGCAGAACTCCCCCAGCCCAGCAGACACACACAGGGCTGGGAGTGTGCTCTGGGCAGCCACCATGTGTCTCAGAGAATGCCCCCACCCCAGCAGACACAATGTAGGGGGGCCTCTGCACATGAGCTGCAGAGAAAACATCTTTTTTCAGAGCCACTTGCAGTGTTCTTGGTAACTTGGGTAATATGAATCCAAAAAGGTAATCTAGTGTTTTTCCACCACACTCCTGGAGGAATATTATATCCTTCACTTCACCAGTTTGGCTTAGTGGATAGAGCCTCAGCTTGCTGACCACAGAGTCTGGGTTTGATTCCAATCAAGGGCATGTACCTAGGTTGCAGGCTCCACCCTGGCCAGGACTCAGGTCAGGGCTCATGCAGAAGGAAACCAATCTAAGTTTCCCTCTCACATTTATGTTACTCTTCATCTTTTCCTTTCTCTTCCAAGCTCTCTAAAATTCAATGGAAACATATCCTCAGGTGAGGAGAAAGAAAGAAAGAATAAGAAAGGAAGGAAGAAAAGATGGAAGGGAGGGAGGCAGGGAGGGAGAGAGAAAGAAATGTCCTATCCTATGAAAGACACATCTTGAAAATGCCTAAATAAAATTGTCATTTTTTTCGTGGTGAAGGGACTGTCGTCCATGTTGATTGAAACACCTTGGTGGCTGCAATGGTTGGCAGTGGCTGCAGCAGTGGGGAGATAGCATCTTCCCCTGATCAGCCTGGTCACCTCCCACAGAGGGAGGCCAGACTGTGACTTAGCCCTGCTCCCTACAAATTAAAAGTGCTGACAAAGATGTGGAGAAAAGGGTACCCTAGTACACTGCTGGTGGGAATGCAAATTGTTGCAGCCATTATGGAAACTGTATGGTGTTTCCTCAAAATATTAAAAATGAAACTCCCATTTGACCCAGTAATGCCACTTCTAGGAATAAATCCTAAGAAACCCAAAACACCAATCAGAAAGAATGTATGCACTCCTATGTTCATAGCAGCACAATATACAGTAGCTAAGATTTGGAAACAGCCTAAGTACCCATCAGCAGATGACTGGATAAAAATACCTGTGATACATTTACACCATGGAATACTATGCAGCAGTAAAAGAGAGAGAGAGAGAGAGAGAGAGAGAGAGAGAGAGAGAGAGAGAGAGAGAGAGAGAGAGAGATCTTTTATTTTTTTATTTTTTTATTTTTTAATATATTTTTATTGATTTTTCACAGAGATGAAGAGAGAGGGATAGAGAGTTAGAAACATCGATGTGAGAGAATCATCGATCAGCTGCCTCTTGCACACCCCCTACTGGGAATGTACCCGCAACCAAGGTACATGCCCTTGACCGGAATCGAACCCGGGACCTTTCAGTCCACAGGCCGATGCTCTATCCACTGAGCCAAACCGGTCCCGGCAGATCTTTTATTTTTTGAGTCAGCCTGGATGGGCAAGGAAAGTATTATGCTAAGTGAAATAAGCCAGTCAGAGAAAAGTAAGTATAATATGATTTCATCATGTGGAATCTAGTGAACAAAATAGATCCAGAGACATGGAAGCATGGAAGAAAGTGAGGAATCTCAGAGGGAATGTGGCAATGGGGGGATGGAGGGAGAGAGATTAACCAGGGAATTTATAGGCACATATGTATAGCTTATGGACACAGACAATAAGGTGGTGAAGGTCTGGGAGGAGAGGTACAGAGTGGAGGTGCTCAATGGGAAAAAAAGGAGCACATCTGTAATACTTCCAACAATAAATATAAATATAAAAATAAAAAATAAAAGGACCTACATGTTGCTTACAGTTACTATTCTAAGTACCTCACTATATTAACACACTTAATGACACAATGATGTAATGTTATAAACATTTTCGGCATATCTGCAAATGAGCTAAATGAGTGACAATCTTTATCATACATAAACTTATGCTACAGGACTGTAATGAAAATTTTTTCTTATCTATTTTTCTATAAATGATTTTATTGCAGTGATTGTATATTTGACTTTAAATCTATTAGACCTTCTTTATACATGGTATAGGAATATTATTAACAAATGTTTATTAAATCATTTACTATACAAATTAACTTCTATAAGTTTCTTCTAAATTTTGTAATTTCTGAAATTATTTCTTTAACTGTTTAAATACGTCTAGATGAATATTTCTGGTGTGGGTCTCTTTGCAACATTGAATCTTGAATATGTGAGGATGAATGGAACAAAGATGAGGAGATATTAGGTTCATTATAGCAGTGGAAGAACAAAGCTCATTTACATGGTGGACTAGAAGGTTTAATCAGACCTAGACTCTAGTTCCTAATCTAGAATCTGGACTCTCTTGGTTCCTGCTAATGTTCTAAGTCCTGTTCTTAGGCCTCCTATTTATTCAGTGATCTCTGAATAGTTTTTCACTAATTTCCATCTGCAACTTCTCCTACTTTTATAATCAAATATATCCAGATTTATTTGCCATTGCTAAGACCAAGAATCCCATCTTATATGCTTACATAAGGAACTTCAGGAGATTAACAAATGCTATTAAATATATATTTTTTTAATGTGAAGCATAGTTAGAAAAGCATATTGTGTAACATCTGTAAAGAAATGAAATATCTGCTAAATGACACCTGAATATTCTTTCTTATCCAGGTAAGTTGCCAGTGGACCTTCCAACTCCACCAGAAACTTCAATTCCAGTAACATTACCTCCACACAACTGTACAGATGGTGAATTTGTCTGCAGATCCAGTGGTCACTGTGTTGAAGAAATCCAGAAATGTGATTTTAGATATGACTGCCCTGACAAATCAGATGAATCATTTTGTGGTAAGTAAATTATTATTTTTTAATTAAATGTAGTCATAAAACAGATAAGGAAATTCTAGCATAACCTTTAAGTAGCATGGCCTAGTGTCCTAGTTAGAAATTTTCAACTGCCTTGAGCCATTTCTTTATATCGATATTTAAGCTATTTGTATAGAAAATTATAATAGAAGAATTAGGATATATTCTTCTATCATGCTTAACAAGCAGTAAGTGTCTTTAAATTTATGTCTTAGTTCAGGACACATACAAGATTGATAGACACATGACGAGAGAGAGAGAAAAAGAGAGAAAGAGAGAAAGAGAGGGAGTTTTCATATACAACCTATGTATTAAAAAAAAAAAAAGAGGACTTGTTGCTCAGTTGAACCAAGATGTCACCAGTTCACCAGTTCAATTCCCAGTCATGGCATCTGTCAATATTTTTCTCTCATTGATGTTCCTCTCTCAATTCCTCTTCTTTCCTTCTGCCTCTCTCTGTTAAAATCAATAGAAACATATTTAAATACTAGAGGCCTGGTGCATAAAATTCGTGGAGGGGGTGTCCTTCAGCCTGGCCTATACCCTCTCGCAATGCAGGACCCAGTGGGGGATGTTAGATTGCCAGTTTAGGCCCAATTCCACTGGCTCTTAACCACTCACCTGCCAGCCTGCCTGATCGCCCCTAACCACTGTGCCTAACTACTTGATGCCCCTAACTGCTCACCTTCCTGCCTGATTGTCCCTAACCATTCTCTTGCCTGCCTGATCGCTCCTAACCTCTCTGCCTACCAGCCTGATTGCGCCTAACTGCCTCTACCTTGGCCCCTGCTGCTGAGGCATTGTTGGGAAGGTCGTCTGAAATGACATCTGGATGTTCAGATGTCTGGTCTAACTAGCATATTATGCTTTTATTATTGATATTGAATAAAAAATAAAAAATGGACTTGTAATTTTGTGTAATATTAAAATATAGTCATTATAAGAATATTGAAAAATTTAAGCAAAGAGGTTGAATGTAAAAGTTATTGTAAATCTTATTGTTTTGAGTTTTAATTTGAAATTTGAAAAAATCCGTTCAGAGACTGGGCTAAAGTTTAGCTTTGTTAATATTACTGTGGAAAAAGAACAGGCTTATCAGAACTTGGAGGTTATGAAAGCAACATATATGTTACGTTAGAAGAGATTGGCAATGCTTAAGTTGCTGCTTTAGGAGCTAATTAAAATCTCATTTCTTCATGAAAGCAGAGTCTTTATTCCCAGTATTTCAGTTACTATATAATAAAACCCTAATATGCAAATCAACCAAACAGCAGAACATCTGGTGGCTATGACATGCACTGACCACCAGGGGGCAGATGCTCAATGCAGATGCTTTGAGCATCTGCCCCCTTGCGCCCCCCCCCCCCCCCTTGAGAGGTAGGCAAACAGTGGAAGCAATTGGGGAGTGGGGCCAGCTAGTGGATGGCACCAGGCAGCCAGCCAAGTTGGGTGCCAGCAGAGGCCGCCAAATCGCCCCGCCCGCCTGTTGCCCACAGTTGGCCCTGATCACCAGCCAGGCCTAGGGACCCTATCCTATATATTGGGAACATATTTGATTTAAAAATTAAAACCTGACAAGGCTACTCTAATATTGAAAAACCAGGATGATGCAGCGATGACATGCATGGACTCTGGCTTTCACATTTTGTGGTCAGCCCTAATTCTGACACTTACAACTGTATGACAAAGTCAATTAACTTCTCTCCGCTTCAGTTTTTCCACCCACAAAATGAGAAAATGGTACTACTGCCTCAGAAGGATCATGTTATGTACTACTTTTTACAACCAGGGCCAAAAAATGTAGCTGTCCATACAGCAGCAAGATGCCTTTCACCTGTTTGAAAAGTCAAGGGTGCAGTCTGGCATGAGAGAGGGCACTCCCTTCCCCACCTGTGCACAAATTTCATGCATTGGGCCTCTAATTTGAATATAATAAAAAAAATTATTTTAAACTCTTCTAGTAATTACACAACTCATTTGCCTACTTATTTTAATTATGTTAAAGTTACATTATAACTAAAAAAAAAAAACCCCAAAAAATCCAAAGTAAGAAAGTGGTAATGAAGATAGAAATCACCATTTACTGACACATTTATTTTAATTAGCTCATCTTGTCTTTGTTCCCTTTATTCTAGTAATGGAAGTTTGCAGCTTTGAAAAAGGAAGCCTGTGTAAATGGTACCAGCCAATCCCTGAAAATTTAATTCAAGATTCAAACACATTCCGGTGGGGTCTTGGTAATGGAAGCGGTATTCATCAGGGGGAAGAAAACCACAGGCCCTCGGTGGACCATACAAAGTAAGTGACAGATACTGTATTTCAAACATATGTCTGAGGAACTAATCACTAAAGCTGTTCCCAAATTTCTGCCCCATCACTTCACCCTAGGTCAGTGCTATAAAAGATGGAAGTTTCATTTATAGAATGGGAGAGCTTAAGTATATCCTTTCATATATATTGATAATTGAAAAAATTGAGAAAGTAGTGAATGGTTATTTGTAAAGTAGAAGTATTTTTTCTTAGATTTTTCTTTATATGTATATCATTGATCATTAACTTTCATGATTAATTAAAAAATTGTAGCCAGCAGGCATGGCTCAGTGGTTGACATTGACCTATAAATCAGGAGAGAGGGCAGATTGATGCTCAGTCAGGACACATGCTATGGTTGTAGGCTCCATCCCTGGTGGAGCATGCAGAAAGCAGGTCATCAATAAATCTCTCTCATCATTGATGTTTCTCTCTCCCTCTCCCTCTCCCTCTCCCTGTCTTACTGAAATCCAATAAAAATATATATATTTTTAAAATTTACAAAATGTTCAGTTCAAACAATGAAATAAAAACATCCTTTTTTGTAATTGCATTTAAAAATAAAAATAGAATTTGTGTGCTCTAAAGTAACTTTTATAATTGAGAAACAGTTTTGGAGAAAACTTTTTGCTCTGAGTAATTCTAAAAGACACATAATTTTAAGATACCCTCTATATTGCCTCATTCTTTGCATAATAACCAACTTTTTTTTCTCAAACCTTTTGCCTATGTTTTCTCTTCTTTAATTCTAATCAAAATGACCCCTCTCTTTCCATTGGATCAAAACAAAGTGTACCAATCTCATTTTTATCTGGGAAAAAAGATATCCTAACTAATAAAAGAGTGATATGCAAATTGATTGTACCGCCACACACCCACAAGCCACACCCATCAGCCAATCAGGAGCAAGTATGCAAATAAACCCAACCAAAATGACTGCAGCCACAGAGAGCAGGAGGGAGGTTTGAGTTTCCCTGGCAATGGAATCCAAGCTTTCTGCCTGCCCTTGCTGGCCTAGGCCTCCACTCAAGGCTACAAAATTTCAGTGATAGAAGATAAATAAATCCAAACAGAAAGGGTGGCAACCATGAAGCTAAAAAAAGCAGGAGGCTAGGCTTGCTACTGGAGATGGAGGAAGCTAAGCTTCTGAAGCTGTGGCCTGCCTTGGCCTCCTCTTCAGGCTACAAAGTTTCAATTATAGAAGATACATAAATCCCAACAGAAATGGCTGACACCAAGGAGCAAGCAGGAGGCTTGGCTCCACTCACAGCTACAAAGTTTCAATTGTAGAAGATAAATAACCCAAGATATCAGGGCCTCTGCTTGAGTTACCAGGTGGTATGGCTGGCCTGCAAACCACCACAGACCTCTCACTTACCCAGGCCGCCCCACACCCCAAGGGAATCCCCACCCTCATCTGGGACACCCTTCAGGGCAAACCAGCTGGTCCCAAACCATGCACCAGGCCTCTATCCTATCTAATAAAAGAGTAATATGCAGATTGGCCATCACTCCAACACACAAGATGGCTGCCCTATATGGTCAAAGATCCTGCAGGGAAGGGAAGTTGCGAGGGACCAGGCCTGCAAGGGAGGGCACTGGGGGGCAATCAAGCCTGCAGAGGAAGGCAGTTAGGGGCAAACAGGCTGGTAGGGGAGCAGTTAGGCATCAATCAGACTGGCAGGGGAGTGGTTAGGGGGTGATCAGGCTGGCCGGCAGAAACAGGGGCAATCAGGAAGGCAGGCAGGCGAGCAGTTGGGAACCAGCAGTTCTGGATTATGAGAGAGATATCTGACTACCTGTTAAGGCCCAATCCTGGTGAGCAGTTGGGCATCCCTCAAGGGGTCCTAGATTGTACAGGGTGCAGGCTAGGCTGAAGGACAAACACCACCACCCCCCCCCCCCCCCCCCCCGCTTCAAGCATGAATTTCATGCATCGGGCCTCTAGTTTTAAAATATTTTGGAATTTAGGGATTGATTATAGATTGTTAAACCATTTGAATATGAGCCACTCATTAAAAATACTGATTAGATGAGCACAGTTTTCTTTCATATTTTGCTTATTTATAAAGTAGAAGTATTTTTTCTTAGAGTTTTCTCTTTATGTATAACATTGAGCATTATCTTTCAGGTATACACTGTGGCAAATGCACCTATATTTCTCTCTATATTATGCACTAGTGTCCCAGTGCATGAAATTTGTGCATGGGGACCAGGGATGTCCCTCAGCCTGGCCTGCACCCTCTCTAATCTTGGACCCCTTGTGGGATGTTGGATATCCCTCTCACAATCTGGGACCACTGGCTTCTAACTGCTCACCTGCCTGCTGGCCTGCTTGCCCCCAACTGTTCCCCTGCCAGTCTGATTGCCCTCAACTGCCCTCCCCCTCAGGCCTGCTTTCCCCCAATTCCCCCCCCCCCTGCTGACCTCATTGCCCCCAACTGGCCCCCCTGCTGGCCTGCTCGTCCAACTACCCCTCCCCTCCCACCAGCCTGATCACCTCAACTGCCCTCCCTTCCTGGCCTGATCACCTCTAACCACTTCTGCCTCAGCCCTGCCACCATGGCTTTGTCCAGAAGGACATCCGGAAGGTCTCCTGGTCTAATTAGCATATTATCCTTTTATCAGTATAGTTTTGTCTAGGCTTGACATCATGAACTAGAAGTCACATAGATAATGCAAGTTGTCTCTTTGCTATAACTAGGCATATAATAATGTATCTAAGTGATGTATATAAATGTGGCAGAAAATTTCAGTAAAACTGAAAATATTTTCATATGTCCTGCTCTGCAAAAATAACAATTTTCAATGCTTTAGTCTCTTAGAAATGAAATACCAGAATTATTGCTTTCTGAAAGCCTTCTCTGGTAAGAAGGTAATATTTTATAGGCCAATTTAGATGCCTTATCGCTCTTCTAGCATAATTTCTAAAAGATTCAGTTTTATAAATCTTGAATAATGGTTAAATAACAGCCTTTTGAAACAATCTATTGAAATAAAAATAAAACTGCAAACAGCCAATATCTAAATTAACCATTGCACTTTTCTCTTAACTGTTTTAATACCTGTGGGAAGGGGCATTTTAGCAGTGTTGCCTCAGGACTGCATATAATTCATAATTGTGCCTCTTAAAGCACAAGAAAATTTGCTTTTATTATAGGTTGTTCTTGAGTTAAGCATCTGTTTTTTATATCTGCATATATACTAATAATTTGTTTTGATTTAATGAATTAAACCTCTTTAATTTTTATTTTATTTCAGAGTATTTAACTTGATAAGTAATTTTATTTTTTATTTATTGCCTAAAATTTTACATATGTCTCCTTTTTCCCCACTTGACACCCCCCCACCCCCAGCCATTCCCACCCTGGGCAAGCCCCCACCATCCCAGTGTCTGTGTCCATTGGTTAAGCTAATATGCATGCATACAAATCCTTTGGTTGCTCTCTAAGTAATTTTAAAAGTTAACTATAGTGGCTTGAAAACAGAAAAGTTAAGAGAAATCATTGCTGAAAACACTTGTAAACCATATCTAAAATAATGTGCTTAGATGGAATGTTTGCTATTCAGGATCAGGTTTCAAGAATATAATATTCTGTATGATTTTATATTATGTTACCAAAAATCAGCTTAGTAATAAATAACATTTATATCATGGTTACAATTGCATTAAAAATAAACATTTTGCCGAGACCGGTTTGGCTCAGTGGATAGAGCATCGGCCTGCGGACTGAAAAGTCCCAGGTTTGATTCGGGATAAGGGCATGTACGTTGGTTGTGGACACATCCCCAGTAAGGGGCGTGCAAGAGGCAGCTGATCGATGATTCTCTCTCTCATCGATGTTTCTAACTCTCTGTCCCTCTCTCTTCCTCTCTATGAAAAACCAATAAAATATATTTTTTTAAAAATAAACATTTATTTTCATTATATAAGTTCTTAAATATGCTTTTTCTGTAACCATACTAAAATTAAGTAAATATATTGGTATGCACAGAATTGTTATACAACATCTAGAGAAAAATATTTATTTAATTAAGTAAAGATAAGTTGGTCCGAAGGTTGTGGGTTATTGTTAAGCTAATTAAGTAAAGATAAGTTAGACTTAAGTTCTACATTATGACATGCACTTGAAAATACTAACATACTAGCTCACAAATGAAATATTTTGCAACAACATGATCTTCTGATATAGTGATTTATGCAGATACATCAATTACTTAAATAAAAGATCTTTATTGCCTAGAAGATGCATAGGTAGCTTTGCATCTAGGCATACAATTTGTCTGTTAGGGATGTATTTCCTGAACATCTGATCTTGAAATAAAAAGCTTAATCAGACATGGAAGCAGCAAGTAAATGACCAGAAGTGAAGAGCTCAGTAATAGGTTACACAAGAAAGAGAAGTCTGCTGTGGAGGGTCAGATAACAATTTGTCTGTTCTACATGTCTATCTTGGTTGTCTATTTGTCTTTAATAACACCTGGAGAGATTTTGTCTTTGGATTTTTTTTTTATAATACAAATAAACTAAAATAATACTATGGGTAAAGACCATATACTGATTCCTTAAGAATTTCTTAAATTTCTTGTTTCTTCAAAAATCCTTTGTTTTTTAACCACAAAAGAATAAATTTATTTTTAACCATAAAATGTTTTATATATATAATAAACAGCATCAAGCAAAATCCTTCTACCATGATGAAAGCATTGTACATTTATGCATATATATTTTAATGCAATTAGGTTCATAATGTTGTTGGTTGTAATCAAGCTCTTCCACAGGATTGGAAAAAAAGCATTTCAGAGACCTACACAGGGGAGATTGTGCTGTGGTAAGGTTTATTTGTGATGCAAAATGAAAGAGTTCTCTTCCTGAGTTCCCAATGTCCTATCTCCCTCCATCCCACCATGGAAAAAGCCAACCATGTCTTCAGTAAGGTTCAAACAATGGCATTGTCCAGAGTCTCTCTTCATATTAAACCTTAGAT